ACTTTCACGCTTCTCAGTGCGTCATCAGGAGCTATGCAGTGTTGCAGGGTTGCAACTGAAGGAGTGAGGGGAAGTTTTTTCTCAGAATAGCGCAGAGTGGGTCTGTCGCCTCCTCTCTCTAAGAGAGCCAGGAGGAGGCAACATGCCCACTCTAAGCTATTCTGAGAAAAAACTCCCCCCCCCTCCTTCAGTTGCAAACTTCCAACATTGCATAGCTCCTGATGACGCACTGAGAAGTGCGAAAGTACTTGAGCTAAAGATTTCCATCCCCCTGTGGCTTGTCTTGCATATATATATATATATATATATATATATATATATATATATATATATATATATATATATATATATATATATATATATATATATATATATATATATATACACACACACACACACACACACACACACACACACACACACACACACACACACACACACACACAGGGAGGTACCACCTCTAGAACAGTGCTGGGGACCCTCATCCACAGAGAAAAGAATAACCTTACTTCAGGAAAAACGCAATTCTGACTGTAGTCTAAACAAAATAGCCAAAAAAACCCATTTTCTTATTTTTTTATTTTAAGGAAGTTTTAATCAATACATTAATCACTGAATAAAATATAACGTAGAAGTAAAATATTACTGAGAACCTACGGTACTAGTGTTGACTCCACCGGTGCAACATCTCTCTTCTTGCCTTCATCTTACCTGCAACACAATACAATATAAACTTTAATATAATAATAATAATAATAATAATAATAATAATAATAATAATAATAATATAACAATAATAATATCTTTATTTACTACAAGTACATGTACAAGGTGTAGAGGCCTAGCACGAAACATAAACTGAGAAGGGTAAATAATTTTAATGTCCAGTGTAATGGGGAACCCATCACTTCAGTTTCCTCAGTAAGATATCTGGGAATCCCCTTTGACTCATGCATGTCAGGAGAATTGATAGGGAACAGTGTAGTAATGAAAGCGAATGCCAGACTGAAGTTCCTCTACAGACAAGCACACTAGCACAGTGTCTACCTACTGAGGCCCACAGGACCCTTTATCTAGCCCTTGTACAATGTCATATGGACTACACTTGTTCTTCATGGTGCTCTGCCTTGACTAAAAGACTGAAAGATAGACTGCAAATCACCCAGAACAAGATGGTAAGATTCATACTGAACCTGGGTCCAAGAGAACATGTAGGCCAGAATGAATTACAGCAGTTGGATATGCTGAATGTTGAAGACAGAGTAAAACAACTGAAGCTAAATCATATTTTTAAAATTGCTCACAAACAGTGTCCAGAATATCTTGCTGTCAATTTTGTCAAGGTTGGGAACCGCAGCAATCATAGTACTAGGGGGAGAGAGCACAACTTTGTAATACCCACAGTCAGTGACCAGGCTTCAAATACCTTTTATTGTACAGCAATAAAGGAATGGAACAGACTGCCCGCACATGTCAAAGCCAGTCATAGCATGAACCAGTTCAAGAAGAGTGCCAAAAGGTGTCTGATGAATGTAGCGACAGAAAGGGAGGAGAATGATTTTTTATTTTTTTAGCTAACACACGTGTAAATATAAATAACTCATTTTACCTTATTCCTAGTATATATCCATTATAGTATAATAATAAGATATTATATCCTTTATAGTATAATAATAAGATATTAAAAGGACCCCAATGGAAATAAGTCACTGACTTTTTTGGGTTATCCCAGGTTCTGTACACATATGCTGCTATGTATAATAATCTATGTAACTGTATTTGTGTATACCTGAATAAACTTACTTACCATACCACGGGCGGGGACAGAACCCGTGATCAGAGAGTCTCAAAACTCCAGACCGTCGCGTTAGCCACTGGACCAGGATAGCTGGTCCAGTGGCTAACGCGACGGTCTGGAGTTTTCAGATTCTCTGATCGCGGGTTCTATCCCCGCCCGTGGTATTGTTTGTTTGCAATCGTGTCATTACGATTTCGTGAGTCAAGTTACTTACTTACTGACATCAATGACATACTACTACAGAAAGCCCCTTTGTTATGCTGAGTATTTCGGGCAAATAAGGTCAGTGTCTCAGGATGCGACCCACACCAGTCGACTAACATCCAGGTACTCATTTTACTGATGAATGAACATAGACAACAGGTATAAAGAAACACGCCCAATGTTTATACCCTGGCTGGGAATCGAACCCAGACCCCTCACCGTGTGAAGCGAGAGCTTCAGCCACCAAAGCCTGTGGGAATACTGCAACTTATGCTAACAGTCCCCTAAAATACTGAAGTCCATCTTTTGGGAAATATTATTATTAATTTCCATTACAAAATCTTAAGCCGCTATGGGATCTTTCTGCATTGACAAGTTTCTGAAGGTTAGTTCTATTTATAAGAGTTAACCCAGTAAAACAGACTCAAAAGAAAACGTACTATTTATAGTATAAAAGAAAATGGAACACTAAATATATATTTCACGACAGACTATGGTAAAATAACAACAAAATATCTTACTTAATATTAGAAAAACCGATTGTAGAATAAGAATGAAGTTTGTATATAAACATTTCATTTAATTCACTGACAGGAGTTGCTGTCATTAATGAGTCGGTGAAAGATGAGAAGCCTCCCTGAGAAGCAGCTGCAACACCACCCCACTAGTAAAACCACACATCGTTTTTACATCATCCACATTCAATATTCAGCAGTGAATACAGTCAATACTAATTCTGGTATAACTCATTCACACGAAACAACTTTATATAAGTCGTATGACGGCAAATCCAACATATTTTTTTTTAAATACCTGATTGGCAAGTACCCGATGAAAACATATCAAACTCTGATCTTACTGGATTATCCTAGGTTAAATTTATACCATTTACCACTGTCGTAGGCCTAAAACATCTATGTGAGTTCAGAACAACTGTGCAAAATTATAAATATTTGCAAATTTTGATGAATAACGATTATCTTCGTATGGTGTTTGCCTGCGGTTATGGGATGAAACAGCACCTCAAGATGAGACTGGACGAGTATCTTCACCTGGTGCCAGATCAACCAGGCTGTGACGGATATGTGGGGCAGCAGGCCTCCAGCAGCAACAGCCTGGTTGACCAGGCAAGCATCAGACGAGCCTGACTCATGGCCGGACTCCGAGACTAGTGAAACTCTCGAAACTCTTCAAAGGTATATCAAACGTACCTTTGACAAGTTCTAAGAGTTTATCTGCTCCCAGAGCCAAGAACGTCTGGTGTTTGCCTGGACAACCAGGCTGCTCGTGTCCCGCTAACCTACACATCCATCACAGCCTGGTTGATCTGGCACCTGAACATACTTGCTCATTTGGACCACAATTGATGCTGATCATGTAACTAAATGACTCACAGTTGTACTGGGTGTAAAGTCATCAAACTGTAAGATCCCTGGTTGAATGGTTAGAGCACTGGGACTGTTATAGATGGAACACAATTCAACACTATGCCTGGGTGTGGGTATATATATATGAACTCAAATTAAGTTGTAATAAATAACTGTTAATGAATAGACGTACATGCGCGCGCGCGCGCCTGTGTGTGTGTGTGTGTGTGTGTGTGTGTGTGTGTGTGTGTGTGTGTGTGTGTGTGTGTGTGTGTGTGTGTGTGTGTGTGTGTGTGTGTGTGTGTGTGTGTGTGTGTGTTTTGAACTTGCCTAGGGACGACAATGACTAACACCCACTCGTCAACACCTGATATACCCCTGACACCCACTCGTCAACACCTGATATATTCCTGACTAACACCCACTTGTCAACACCTGATATACCCCTGACACTCACTCGTCAACACCTGATATACCCCTGACTAACACCCACCCATCTTCCTGATATACCCAACACCCACCCGTCAACATTCCAGTATCTAGCTAAGGAGCAACTTTCTCTCTCTCCAATATTTTCCAGGAAGAATATGATGTATTTTTCTGAGCCCCTTTTTCAGGAAGTACAATTTTAGTATATTTAGGCACTTCCGTTCAGGTGTTTGACTGAACTAATGCCAGCAGAGAAAGTTCTCTGCACATTTTCCTGATCTGCAACCTACCCTAAAAGGAATTATTGGTGTAAAGCAGCATTCCAGACAAGAGTACACAAGTGCCCTAAGGGATATCATCAGTGGCCTGACATCTCTAAGTTTAAAAGGTTCTGGCTATCCCTCTTACCATTTTCCTTGCAGTTAAGTTAGGTTAGGTAAGGTTTGTCAGGAAACAGGACAAGTGTTTTCTGACGTGGGTCTTTGTCATATAATGACATTCAGCTGGAGCTTTTGGTCGTCCGACCGAGGCCTTCCGCTGGCTTACCGGTCGACCCCTATAAAAATTAAGGTTATAATTTTCCCTGCAGTTGTGATGGCATCATTATCGTGTCCCTTGAACAATGGTAGATACTAAGAAAAACCCATCGCAACAATTTTCGAGTCTACGTTTCTCTCAACGAAAAATATATATACATGTACTACAAATAATCAACAAAATCCAAAATATTTGTCAGATTTGTATTTCGTGGTTCACTGGGGATAGTTCCCAATGAACCGGAAACGTTTACCTTATTGTACGCCTTCTGACACTGGAACCCAGGTTGTATATCAAAGGTCACTAAGAATAACAGTCGTTACACCGGCAGAAAACTGGAAACAGCTCACTGGCATCATTATTCCGCTGACATACATCGAGGTAAACAAGTGTGAAGTGTTTACACTTGATAAAGAACAAAGATAGGCAATGATATCACACTATGTATTCATGCATAAAAGTCGAAATACAAAATATTATTTTCTGTTAAACAACATCAGCAATGTCGCAGCCAAGAGTAACAGACGGAGGCAACCCACACAACATATAATTTTCTTCAAGATACTGTTTTATTTCTCTTGAGAGAATATTAAGACAACTGTCCATTTAGTAACTCGAGTAGGTATATGCATGTGGCTAAAAAAAAAAAGAAGAAATAGCTTTACCTTTCTCTTTAAGCGAGGTGTCCTCTTCAAGATCCGCAACTCCGGGATCTCAAACTCTGGTCTCTTATCGAACCTCATCCGAACATTATCCTCGCCTTCAGCAAGCTCCAAAATGGCCGACTTCTTGTCTCTCCTTCTCCTTCTCTCTTTTATTTCGATTTCCAGAAACATTGTTTTGCGGTATTAATGCCAATAGTGCAATTTACGATTTCTTTGCCATACAATGGTAAATTTCCACATTATTTTGAATTTTGCTAGTATTATGATTAAAATTGTCACATCTTCCGGGGACAAGGAATCTTTGACTGTTCGGCGCCGAAAATATCTGCGGCTAACAAGACACACACACACACAAAAAAATACTACTTTTTGAGGCGTTTTCCTTTTGCTTCGGCGCATGTAGTTATGTTTTAGCTTAATGCAATACGCAGCCCTGACCTTGGGACCTACGAGCACGTAGTCCCACCCTCGGCTACTATGTGCAAGTGGTCCCACTTTAGTCTCCAGGGAAATACGAGGACATTGCGGACCATCTTGAGACCCAGGCCCCAAAAGCCAATTCTCAAGTATTGAGAGGTGTTTGATCTCCCTCTCTCACCGCCCACGCCCACAGCCACGCTCACTGGCGCCCACCCCCGCCCTCCACACTCTTCAACTCTGGGTATTACACTTCCAGTCAGTGGCTCACAATATATAAGTCCAAAAGATTTCCAAAGGCAATGAGTATTATTTCCCGATACTCAGAATCTCTGGAATCGAATGAAGCCCTTGAAGGTACAACTCCTAAGTGTGTATTAACCACGACAGGTGTCTGGTGGGTACGGAGGAACCTCAACTCTTGAGGAGGGCCAGGGTATGGGCAGCGTGGCTGGCTGGTATTCCCAGACTTGTGCTCTGCACAGCGTCCTGTGTGTGAGTGTGGGTGTCACAGGAACACAACCTCCCACAACAACACCTATTCAATCTTGTCACCTCTTCTTTCAGCACCCACGGGTATCACTTTTCCTCATCCTGGCTTCCAGCAGGTGCTAGATGAGCACTTCTGCGCCACAAGTCGTTAAGAATACTTTTCTATGTAAGTACAACACACACTTAAAAAACTATTATTCTTTAGCATATTTGTCAAAACTTTGCGCTACCGAAGGTAGAAACTTCTCTATATATCTCAATGACCAAAAATCAGTTAACAATGTAACAATGATGCAAAAAAGTATTAATGCTTCTTGGCAAAAATATTGTATTCTGTTTAAAAATGTGAATATCAAATTCTCACATCCGTTCGTCCCTTCACAAGACAACATTTCATCGCACGAAATTTCTTACCTTCATATTTGCCTATTAAAAATTCCGGGCATCATCGTCCCCCTGGTCCGTTCTTAAACCAGGTCTCCTGACTGATCGACTAGCAGTAAAGCTACTCACGCACATATGACAAACTCGGACGTAGGTATCAAAGCCCGATTGATCGGAATAATTTGTAGGAACTTGTAAAGTTCCTTCATGAAGACAGTTAGGGGCCTATTTGTAGTTTCTCTCTTATATGTCGGGAGAGTGTTAAAAGCCTTTAAGTATTTATTCTTGCTAAATTATCGCTTAGCGTACATTTTAAACCCCGGCTTTTCTTGTGGTCATTTTTGCACAGTCGGTCATACCTCTTCTTATACGAGTTTAGAATATTTACATATTATCATACAGTAGTTCGGATATACTCGAAGTGTAAATTATGCTCAAACTTTCTCGCCTGTGCTCATTATAAATAAGACCTTGTAACTTTCTAATCCAGCCAAGCTAAGTAGAAAAACAACACCATAAAGCGACTACGCAGTTGGTACCTTTGAGGTCTCAGGTGGGAACGTGAACCGTGGTACCACCTGTTAGTGCAGTGTTAAACAGGAAATAACCTAACACCTACATGACCAGGACGGGTCAGTATCAGTGTTGTGTCCTCTGATTCACCACCTCACGTTACCACAGTACAAACCCACCATAATATATTCATCAATAATAATAAAATACCTAACTTCATTACTATTATCGGAGCCAACTAAATAGCCGGTATACGTCCAAGTGTTATACAACCTTCAGAAAGGTCACTATGATGCTAGTGAAGGGATCCAGATCCAAAAAAATGGAACTTCCTTTTCCTTCCTTGGATTAAATCCTCATTGTTTCCAATTCTTCAAGTGCTTCATGACCATTACCGCTAGAACGCTTTCCCATAATAGTAGTAGTAGTAATAACAGTAGTAGTAATAGTAGTACTAGTAGTAATTGTAGTAATAATAATAATAATAATACACGTGTGTGTGTGTAGTATATCAATACCAACACTGCGACTAGCCTAGGAGTCGAACCCATGCTGCTTTGGCCCGCCTCATGATGAGCGAAAACTCATGACGCTCTAGTCAATAAAATATATATAAGTACAGTGCCTGCACTCTGAAGGAGGGGTGTTAATGTTGCAGTTTAAAAACTGTAGTGTAAAGCACCCTTCTGGCAAGACAGTGATGGAGTGAATGATGGTGAAAGTTCTTTTTTGGGCCACCCTGCCTTGGTGGGAATCGGCCAGTGTGATAATATACCTGGAGTTTACCTGGAGAGAGTTTCGGGGGTCAACGCCCCCGCGGCCCGGTCTGTGACCAGGCCTCCTGGTGGATCAGCGCCTGATCAACCAGGCCGTTGCTGCTGGCTGCACGCAAACCAACGTACGAGCCACAGCCCGGCTGATCAGGAACTGACTTTAGGTGCTTGTCCAGTGCCAGCTTGAAGACTGCCAGGGGTCTGTTGGTAATCCCCCTTATGTGTGCTGGGAGGCAGTTGAACAGTCTCGGGCCCCTGACACTTATTGTATGGTCTCTTAACGTGCTAGTGACACCCCTGCTTTTCATTGGGGGGATGTTGCATCGTCTGCCAAGTCTTTTGCTTTCGTAGTGAGTGATTTTCGTGTGCAAGTTCGGTACTAGTCCCTCTAGGATTTTCCAGGTGTATATAATCATGTATCTCTCCCTCCTGCGTTCCAGGGAATACAGGTTTAGAAACCTCAAGCGCTCCCAGTAATTGAGGTGTTTTATCTCCGTTATGCGCGCCGTGAAAGTTCTCTGTACATTTTCTAGGTCGGCAATTTCACCTGCCTTGAAAGGTGCTGTTAGAGTGCAGCAATATTTCAGCCTAGATAGAACAAGTGACCTGAAGAGTGTCATCATGGGCTTGGCCTCCCTAGTTTTGAAGGTTCTCATTATCCATCCTGTCATTTTTCTAGCAGATGTGATTGATACAATGTTATGGTCCTTGAAGGTGAGATCCTCCGACATAATCACTCCCAGGTCTTTGACGTTGGTGTTTCGCTCTATTTTGTGGCCAGAATTTGTTTTGTACTCTGATGAAGATTTAATTTCCTCATGTTTACCATATCTGAGTAATTGAAATTTCTCATCGTTGAACTTCATATTGTTTTCTGCAGCCCACTGAAAGATTTGGTTGATGTCCGCCTGGAGCCTTGCAGTGTCTGCAATGGAAGACACTGTCATGCAGATTCGGGTGTCATCTGCAAAGGAAGACACGGTGCTGTGGCTGACATCCTTGTCTATGTCGGATATGAGGATGAGGAACAAGATGGGAGCTAGTACTGTGCCTTGTGGAACAGAGCTTTTCACCGTAGCTGCCTCGGACTTTACTCTGTTGACGACTACTCTCTGTGTTCTGTTAGTGAGGAAATTATAGATCCATCGACCGACTTTTCCTGTTATTCCTTTAGCGCGCATTTTGTGCGCTATTACGCCATCGTCACACTTGTCGAAGGCTTTTGCAAAGTCTGTATATATTACATCTGCATTCTTTTTGTCTTCTAGTGCATTTAGGACCTTGTCGTAGTGATCCAGTAGTTGAGACAGACAGGAGCGACCTGTTCTAAACCCATGTTGCCCTGGGTTGTGTAACTGATGGGTTTCTAGATGGGTGGTGATCTTGCTTCTTAGGACCCTTTCAAAGATTTTTATGATATGGGATGTTAGTGCTATTGGTCTGTAGTTCTTTGCTGTTACATACACACATACATACATACATATATATATATATATATATATATATATATATATATATATATATATATATATATATATATATATATATATATATATATATATATATATGTCGTGCCGAATAGGCAGAACTTGTGATCTTGGCTTAAATAGCAACGCTCATCTTGCCATATAGAACAAGTGAAAATTTGTGTATGCAATAATTTCGCCAAAATCATTCTGAACCTAACGAAAAAAATATATTTCACTGTGTTTGTTTAGTATTTAATTATTTAAACAAATCAAAAATATATTTAGTTAGGTTAGGCTAAAATAAATTGAGCTTATTATAATAAGGTTAGGTAAGTTTTCTAAGTTCCTTTTGGTGCAAAATTATAAATTTTTACATCAACATTAATGAAAAAAATATATCTTTAAACGTATGAGAGAAAATTTTAGAAAGGACTTAATTTTAAATGAGTTCTTGCTAATTGACCAGTTTTACATATTCGGCACGACATATTTATATATATATATATATATATATATATATATATATATATATATTATATATATATATATATATATATATATATATATATATACTATATCGCCCACGATGACTATCAGTTGCTAATATACACTTTACCTTTCCCAGTCAATGATATACAAGTGCTATACATCCCACAATGACATACAAGTGGTGTACGCATATATTGGAGCGACATTAAAGGTGCGCTATAGGTCAAAGAGAGACGCACCTTCACCAACAACAACCTCATGTTACACTAACATGTCTGGTGACGGCTGCCACGGTATACTGTCAACAAATATAATTAATTAATACACAGACACCAAGAGCAGAGCAAACCCTTATTACCACAACGTCTCGCTCAAAGAGAACTCTGCTTGAGTGAAACGTTGTCTTAAAAGGCTTGCTCTGTTCTTTGTTTAGCCAGTGCCAGGCGACCACTGATCTACATTCAGTGCTGACCAGGGCACTTTCTTGTGTACCAGGGTATGGCTTCGATGATTAGCCCCGACGCCCGGTCTAGGAGCAGGCCTTGTCACTCTGGCTGTTGCTGCTTGCGGCCCGACAGTTCGACATAGTCTGATGAGTCAGGATCAGAGTGGAGAAATTTATCAAATTCTCTCATAAAGGAAGTTGGGATTTTGTTGAGAATTTCCCTTATATTTGAAAAGTGGATTTTAAAAAGTTTTTGGAAATTGTGTACCCATTGCACCCTTATTTTTTTTTCTGCTGGGGTTACATTACGTGAAGCATATCTGAAAGATATTTTCGGGAATCAGTGATCCACCGGCATGGAGGTGTGGATCTTTCGACATAATTCCATTACCCTTTCCACTCAATGAAGTGGTAAATAAAGTCTGTGCCCTGTTAGCGCAGTACCTGGAGGTTATTCCGGGGATCAACGCCCCCGCGGCCCGGTCCATGACCAGGCCTCCCGATGGATCAGGGCCTGATCAACTAGGCTGTTACTGCTGGCCGCACGCAGTCCAACGTACGAGCCACAGCCCGGCTGATCCGGCACAGTAGCTGAAACATGTTCAACAAATTTTACAAGGATTTATTTACATCAGATTTGACGTTCAGTTTATGACACGTATGATAATGAGAAAAGATTGAGACTGGGCCTTAGGGACTGGAGCTTTTCACAGTGGAGGCCTGCGAGTTTATGTTGTTGACTATTATATCAAAATATCAAAGAGTCTAATTATCTCAGAACACTGAACATCAAATCTTCCCACTTTTCGAATTATTTATTTTGTATTCTTTCAGTTTTCACAAAGTCTATCATCCTCCAGTGAATTCAAGACCATACCGATGTGGGCTACCTACAGCGAGAGGCAGGAGAGATCTGCT